GGATTTGTAAATAAACTAGTACCAAAAGAAAAACTAAAAAAAACCCAAAAAATAAACCCCAAAGTAATTCTTCAACACGTGTATTAAAAAGTAGGCTTTAGAGAGAAAATAAATTCAGAAGAAAGAACACCCAAAGTGCATTACTTTTATAATAAGAAAAACACAAAAAAAGAAAATGTGCTTCCTTTACCTTAAAATCTGTTCCTGACAAGCTGCAATTCTCTTCATGAATTTGTAAAATAACTTATCTCCATTTTTAATTATGGTCTTCTCATATTTTTCATCACCAACATTAGAAAGACTAAGGGAAAGAGACAGCATTCTGAGTGTCTATAATTAAAGAATTAAAATATTTAGGAGAATAAATAAGATAGCTGTCTTTAAAAATTATCAAAATAATGCATACATACAGCTTAACATCAGGACAATCAATTTAATAACTTACAATAGAAAACAGGCATCCCTTACTCCACCTTTCCCCCAAGCCCTGTTCCCCAAGCACTTTCAACTCTGGGTATTTATTTGCAGTTTATAAAGTCTTTATGCAAAATGTTGGGGTTTTTTCTCCCCATTATGTATCATATCCAAACACCAATGCATGCTCATGTACTCTCTATTAACATAGTTCTTAAAAAGTTTGCAAATAAAACAACTCTGGAAAAGAACTAGTAATCTCTCCAAATACTATGATATAAATCTTTTACAGGTGGTTCTTGACTTACAAAACATTCCAATTATAAAGAATCACACTTGAAAGTTCACGTTTCTGTACATCTTATCATTAATGGTACACATTGTTATTTACATGCTGTTGAGTCAGAACAGACCCACAGGTGACCTTCCAGTGGGTTTTTACAGGTGATAGATAAATGGCATCAGAGAAGATTACTCATCTTCCTCCCTCAGAGCAGCTGGTGGAGTCAAACTTCGTTGCTTTGGGATTGATTACAGCACAGTTTCTTACCCTTAGACTATCAGAGCTCCCTCAGCTATATATACTACATATAATATTGCAGCACATAGTTCATTGATGTCATCAGTCCCAGATGTTCATTTATAGTCTTTCAATTTTATGATTTACTGTTTTAAGACACTGACAAACAAATTTAGATTTAAAAAATTAATCCAGAGGGATCTCTGGTGGCCTGGAGGCAGGAAGCTATGCTGCAATCCCAAAAGCATGTGCTTTAAATCCACCAGATACTCCGCTGGAGAAGGAGGGGTAATCTCCTCCTGTGCCAGCAGGATCTGACTTGACAGTACACAACAAGAAAAGAAAAAAGAAAGAACTTTCTTTAAAAAAAAAAAAGCAAAGTGGAGGGGGGGCAGGGAGGAAAATGTAAAACAATAAATTAATGGAAATCCATTACAATCTCAATTAAAAAATTATGGTACATTCACACAATGGAATACTATGCAGCATGCAAGAGCAATGATTTTATAAATTATTACCTAACTTGGGAGGGACTAGATAGCATTATGCTGAGGGAACCAACTCAGTCTCACAAGGATAAATATTGTATAAAATCTTTATTGCAGAATTAGTATAAGGATCCTGGAGGTGTAGGAAAGGCTGGAAGCAGAGGGATGAGGATATGTAGGGGGCAGGGGGATTAATCATTGGGTTGGACAATTTGATGGGTTGGGTGGTGAGAGAAATTGAAAGAATCTGTTCTTGAAAACAATATATTCAAATTTTGTAAATAACCTAGTAGAAATTAAAAAAAAAAATATGGGGTAGGTAAAAAAAAGACCTCAATTAAAAAGAAAAAAATAAAAGAAAAAAACGAACAAAACCCATACCCAAACACTGATCACTTTGCTAAAGTCATAGACAGAGTTAGGAAGCAATGACATTTTACTGGGAAATATACAAGTGAAAAAGGACCATTAGAGATAACTCTCTAATTAGAAACACCATCTTCACTCCTAGGGATAATCCACAGCTTTTCAAACATGCAGTTATTACCAAACTGAAAACAAAAAAATAAGCCACGGTCGTCTAACTTTTCACCACTGAACAGATTTTTATGATTTACCTATTTTTAAATGTACACACACACACACACACACACACAAAATTATATATGTTTGGCAGGCAGTTCAAATTCACCAGATGCTTTGTAGTACAAATTGAGCAATCTCCTCCCATGTGATTTATATTCTCTGAAAACATGAGCGAGGGTCAGTTATGAGTCAGTTCCAACTCAGTGATACATAATACAACAACCCTTATTTATATACCAAAACACAATTTAAATTTTATCTGTAATGTTTCTAAGCATTAAAGACAACAACTAGGTTTATAAAGATATTGAAATACAGTAACAAAGAAAAATTTTTTAGATTTTAAAAATTTTTTTTTTTATTTTCTGTGTGTGTACTGTCAAATTGGATCTGACTAGTACAGGAGGAGATTGTCCCTCCTTCTCCAGCAGAGCATCTGGTAGATTCAAATCACATACCTCTGGGATTGCAGTGCAGAAGAAATTTTTTTTTAAATTTTTTTTATTTTATTATTTTGTGTGTGTCTGTACTGTCAAATCAGATCCGACAGGTACAGGAGGAGACTGTCCCTCCTTTTCCGGCAGAGCATCTGATGGATTTGAACTTCATATCTCTGGGATTGCAGTACAGCTTCTTGCCACTAGGCCACCAGAGCTCCCGTAGAAGAAAATTTTTTAAAAAGATATGCAACCTTGGCCTAGTGGCAAGAAGGTGTACTGCAGTCCCAGAGGTGCATGGTTCAAATCCACCACATGCTCTGCTGGAGAAGGAGGAACAATCTCCTCCTGTACCAGTCAGATCTGATTTGACGGCACACACACACACACACACAC